AAAAATTGTATGTGCAGGTACAAGACATAAAAGAACTACCTATACAAGTATGAAGTTTAGCCGCTTCACAAAGTTTGGACTTGACTTTTATGTGCTCGTTGAAGGATAGGGACACAAGGCTAGTAAAATACGGTGTCAAGCTTGGAACAAAGAAGTACTTAGAGCTTATGTGTATATTATCTTCATGTATTCATATGAATTGCAAGGGTTCAATCCTTAGAGACACCCCGAAATTCGAATATTTGGAATGTGTAATATACTAAGATGAAAATTCAATCGTCGCGACATTTTCATTTATGCATAAGTTTGTTGAATCTATTATCTCAGAAAGTAAGTCATGGATTACACTAAAATAGGGGAGGATTGTTGGTGATTTTAGTGTCATCAATTTATTTTGTGTAATTGGATTTACTTTGATCGGACAAGAATTTAAATAGACGTTATCAAACGAGTTAGGAGGCGCGGAGTGCGCGCTCGTTCAACGATATTATAAATTCACTGCGGGGTCCGGGGGCGGCAGCCCCCGGGTAGCGGGGTCCAAGGGGCGGCAGCCCCTGGCGGGGTCCAAGGGGCAGAGCCCCTGGCCGGGGTCGAGCTGTTTCTTTAAGAAAATCCTTAAGATTTTCGTGACCGGAGTCCTAAACGGTAAAGGACTCGTACATAATGGATAAACGTCGAAATTAAGCTTTCAACCGCAGGAGACCTTTCGTTCAAACTCGCACCTTTCTTCTTCTTGCGCGAACGTACGCGTACATCTACGCGAATGTTCATGTCCGATCACAAGGATTTTCGACTCTATAAAATAGAGTCTCGTGGTATGGGTTGAAATATAGATTCTCGAGTGCTTGTTCTGAATTAACGTCTTATCCGATTGAAGTATTTTGTATACCCCGAAATAACTTTGATCTGTAAGCGTTTCGTACGCGATTCGTTATTCTATCGAGTTCTTCGTTTAACACTGCTTCGCAGTGTTCTTCATCTCCTAACTCCAACAGATATTTGATATCAGCTCCTTTAAAATCAATTTGTGTTAAAAGAGGCGCATACCTTAGCTTTATAGTATATTCAACACACAAGTGCCCACGATACTCGATTGTGACTTGACATACATAGACTTTGCCACGGGACAATTGATGCACACATGGCCAACAAGAATAATCAATTATGCCAGCAGAGCACCATCCAAAATACTAAACTAATTTTAATCCCATATCAAAAGATTCCTGATGTATTTTTATTCAATTATTAATAATTGGTATACAATTAAAAGATAAGATTTGTAAATATTTAAAAGCTACGGAGCATATCAAAAGTTTTTTGCGGCTATATTATTATTTCCTTCTCGAAATATTTGACCAGTTTTAATTTTTTGCAATCAAAATTGATAATTTTGACCATAAATTGATACAAAAACAATTTAATTGGATTCATCTTATAAAATATTTTCAAAATATTATTTTTCTTAATTAAAATACATATACTTTTAATTAAAATATAGGTCAAAATTTGATTACTATTAATTTCAAAAAGTTAAAATTAAACAAATATTTTGGGATATACATATGTTTTGTTTGAGAATAACATTTTTTATTAACTTAATCATTTCTAAAAGCTACAATGTGATAGCTTTTTTCAAAATAACAATTCTAATCTCTTGGTACCATGTCAAAGTAGTTTACGAAATGAGTGAGGAAACCCGCATGGGTAGCCCAAATGACAAACACTTGGTGAAGTTTGGAGAATGACCAAGGATCGAAACCTGACCGTTGTGGAGGCGACCACCTCTGAAAAATGGGGGGAGTCTCTGGTGCGCACTAGGATATGGTCTAGCTAAGTGTTGTGTTTGGATCACCGTAATTTACCTCCTCTCACATTCTCGTCAGGTCGGAGGTGAGGGGTGTCCGGGGCGAGTTATTTCACCTTTTGGAGAATGAAATAAGTGATGAAAATGAATAAAACTACTTCGTATTAATATTTGTGCCCGAGGCTCTGAATACTTCCAGTTTATATGCGAGTCTAGCCTCTAGAGCAATGTCCCGTCTTCTTCATTCCCTGAACCGTCAATGCGCTTCCCCGTCCACGTCTTTTCCCCGTGCGCTCGCCCATTTTCGCCGGTCAAAGTCTAACAGCTCCGGCGGCGGTGAAGACGATGTCCCACACCCACGCCTCATAGAGATCGACTTGGAATCGTCGACCACGGATCGGGATCCTGCCGTCTCCGGCATGCATATGCTCGACGATGTCATACACAGCCTCATCCTGCGCCGATCTGCCCCAGATTGGCTCCCTTTCCTCCCTGGATACTCCTACTGGGTCCCTCCTCGCCATCCGCGCAACATCGTAGAGGTCGTCCGCAAGATCTCCGCTGCTAAAGCTCGTCCCTCTCCTCTTTCAGACGATGAATGGATGGCTGTCACCTCGCCTAGCGGCTGGCCTTCCTCCAACTATTTTTACCAAGGTACAGATTTGTCTCTTCTTTGCTTAATTTGTATAGGCAGTTTCTCCATTTCCATTTATTGCATTCGTGATTCTCATTTTCTATGGTTTCCAAGTTGGCACATACCCCTAGGTGTCTAGATATAAATACCATGTGTTCTAAAAAATGCTTCTCCTAGGCATTAGATTAGTGCCTAGGCGCTCTAAAGCAGACATTAATCTTGGCCTTTGCAGTCTTAAGCGGGATAAGTTGTAGGCCTGTAAGGAAGGCCTCTACCTAGATGGGACCTAGAAAGAGGAATTTTATAACACTAGATAGATGCTTGGCTTATTGAGATGGAAAAAGTTAAACTTGATTGAGTATGTTTAGGTGGATGTGATAATGTACTCCATAATAGAGCTTTGTTTCTTTTTGGGCTTAGTAGAGAAAGTGTTTCTACTCCCTATAATACTATAATTTTCTTATTTTCTACTCCCTATAATGCAACTTTCGACGCGCCGGGAGTCTATTTGGAAACAGCCTCTCTACTTTCCAGCAAGGGTAAGGCTTGCGCGCACACACCCTCCCGACACCTACTCTTGTGGGATTCAAGTGGGTTGTTGTTGTTTGCATAAATTATCATAAAACCAATTATCTAACGCTATATGTGAAGCCACACAAGATAATGGTACCAATATCTCTAGGAAAAGGTAATTACACATCCACTCCTGACAAGTGGTCATATAATGCTCCATCCCCTCCCCAATCTCTTAGCAGTTTGCCTGCCTGCTGTAAGTGACCATATAGCATGCCCTCTGTCTCTTTTTATCTCCAGATGATGAACAATCCCTTTCTAAAGTGGTACGTAAAGTTATAGGCAATCAAGTGCTAATGACTTATGCATTGGTTTACTCTATTTGGACACTAAGGGCTTATATTACAGTTTGTGGGACGAGTCCAATTTATGGCAAACTAAAAATGTAAAAGTTAGGGTATTCCATCCTATAAGCTAGATCGTTTCATATATTTAAGACAACAAAAGTCGCTATTGTGTGAACAAAGATTTGTCTTATTGCATAAAGAAAGTGAGAATATAATTTATTCCACGTCACACGTTAGCTAAATTTCACTCTATGCTGCTGATTGTTTTATACTACCTCACATGATCTTAAAATGAGCTCTTTACAAATAGGATCAAGGACACTGCAATCATTGTGTACAAAAGTTGGGGTTGAGAATATAACCTAAGAGTGGATGACCTCATACTTTGTTAGGAATTTATTGGGAGAATGTAACCTCCGAGTGGATGACCTCATATTTTGTTAAGAAATTAATTGGGAAATACATATGTAGTGATCAACATGATACTTGGTAACATTATTTTATGTTTAAGTGTTGAGGAAACTATATTAAGATAGTATTAAAAGGATAATTATACTATAGTAATAATTTAATTATGGACTATCATTCTTGTGGGCATGCAAACTGATCTCCATAATTAAACGTTGATTGGTTCAGACCTCCACTTAGTTTCACCCAATCTCCAACCTCATTGTGGTCGTGGATAAATAACCCAGGGTTGGGTCTATAAGCAGTGAGCCTGTGACAATTGCCCTATGGAAACTTGCTTTTGTTGTGGCTTCAATGGGTTCCCTTAACCAAGCCACTGCCTATGCATCAATGGCGCGTTCTTCAAACTTAACCTCACAAATTAATAGGGGTGAGCAAGTACCGAACCGATACCGAAATTTCCCGAAAAAACCGAGAATACCGAACCGAAAAAGTACCGAGAAGAAACCGAACCGTACCGAACCGAATGGTTGGTACGGTATTTGGGAACGGTACGAGGTGACGTACCATACCGAAAATCCCGAACCGAACATATATACTAAAATATTATAAAAAATAATACCCCGGAGTAATATTTTTCATATTCCTTCACTAAATAATACGGAGTAATTTTTTTTAAAAAATTGGTTCAAGTTTTATCATGTGTAAGTTATACTTTTATTTGAGTTTTAGTTTTTGTGTATAAACATAAAAGTATTCACAAAGATTCGAAAAACCCTTTGTTGTCGTTCATTTTTTTAGTTTGTGAAATATAAACTATGTTTTGATATGCATCCCTTGCATTTAAATATTCATTTTTTTAATTTTTCACGTTTTTTT